TTTTTCATTATAAAGGGAATTTACATACACCCACAATAATATACAGTGACTGGACGCTTTATTACTGTTCAACTGCTTGTTAATGTAAATATCTAATTATATGGCAGCAACTCAATGCATTTATATGTGTATACATAGTCAGGAGGAACTGCTGAGGTTAAAATTGAGCTTCAGAATTAAGAAGATAGGTGATTTAAGTAACTTTGAATATTGGTGCCAGACAGGCTTTCTAAGTAGATCAGAAACTGCCGATCTACTGGGATTCCCCAACACAAGCATCTCTAGGGTTTAAATGGTCTAAATAAAAAAGAGAAAATATCCAGTTCCCTGGATGAAAATGCCTTGCTTATGTCATTGTTCATATCAAGCTGATAGGAAAGCAACAGTAACTCAAATAGCCACTCATCACAACTGATGTACGCAGAAGAGCATCTTTGAACACACAACAGATGGGCTAAAGCAGCAGAAGATCAAACTAGGGGCTGTTTTTGTTGGCCAAGAACAGGAAAGTCTGGAAAGTCTGTAAAAATGTTGGATGGTCAGATGAGCCTCAAATTCTGCTTTGATTATAGAATTTGGCATAAACAGCATCAAAGCATGAATCCATCCTGCCTTGTAAAGTGGTTCAGTCTGCTGCTGGTGATATAATTGTGTGGGGGATATTTTCTTACTAAACTTTGAGTCTCTCAGTACCAATCGATCATCTTTTAAATGCCATGCTGCCATGTCCATCCCTTTAGGACCACAGTTTACATCTTCTGGTGGCTCCTTCCTGTGAGCTAATGCTCCGTGTTATAAAGCTCAAGTCTCTAATTGGTTTCATGAACACGATAATGAGTTCACTGCACTCAAATGGTCTCCACAGTCACCAGATCTCAATTGAGCATCGCTGGGATGTGGTGGAATGGTCGGATCTACATTAGTAGATTAGTAGCTGGGAAATCTGCTGCTACTTTGTGACGCTACCATGTTATTATGAACCAAAATCTCTGAGAAATGTTTCCAGCATCTTGTTGAATCTATGCTAAGAAGAATTAAGAGACTTCTGAAGGCAAAAGGGGATCCAACTCCGTACTACCAAGGTGTACCTAATGCAGTGGCTGTGACTGTTTATGTTGAAGTTTGAGTGTTGCATGTATTACCAAACTTTTTACATATAAAGCCAAGATTAGAGAAAAGCCAAATGTGATTTATATTAGTTTTGTTATTTCATATACAATTAATATTCTCGTGTCCCTCCAGATTTATTTTGGGGGTCCAGACCTCCAGGTTCTGAACTGTTGCAATACCCTAAAAAAGGCTATTTCTCACTAATACAAAAAGTAGCTTATCATGAACCTGTGCTTTGCTTACGTGGCGAAATAGTCATAGAAGAAGACTTTGTGGGGAATGAGTGAAGAAAGAGCGAAAAAAATTACAGCCAAAGGTCGTTCTCTTCAAGGCAGACGATAGCGGTGCACACAAAAGCCTCAAATTCGCCATGCACGCTCACATGTGCACGCAAGCGCACTTTTGACCTCGGTTTCACCTTTGTCAGCCCAAAGAGCTCAAAGCAGCTGGGTGGAGGAGAATTCTGACAACACGCTGAAACTGAAACTGTATGCCCACATAATCCTGGGCCACAGAGGGTCGAGTGGGTTCAGGGGGAAAGAGAGGAATGAGGAGCAAATGAGAGATACTGTGACTATAAAAAAAAACACCAATAGAGAGAAGAAATGTTTCAGTGATACAACGTAGGTCAAAACAAAGCTCAAATCCATCTTAGAGAGAGTGATGGAAACACCATTGTCACACTTTATTGAAAAAAAAATGCAACCTGCCACATATACCGTATTCTTTTACTGTACAAACATGAGCCGCAATAACAAGAGACTGCTTTGCTGATTGTCAGAACATACAGAGCGAGCCCTACAGCGCACACAGACAGACACTGAAGATGAATCACGACACTGTGTGGAAAGACTGTGGTCGTGAATGAGAACAGAAATCCACTTGCTGTCATACATTATATCAATATTGGTTGGATTATGGCATGTATAACTCCTCTCCACACACATTGTGCACCCAACGTGTGTGAGCATGTGTATGACAGCTGTCCCTGTATGTGTAATAATCCTCGGTAAGCTCCATGGCTCCCACAGTCTCTTCCACTAGATCCTCCAGAGCATCTCTGACCTCAATGTGTGCTTCTCTGACACTCCCTACAACCTACAATACACCACACAAACTGCTCAAGCTGTAGGTGAGAGATACCATGACTCCAACTACTGTCTTCTTGCAGTGGTCAAGCAGGGCTGTCACTTACAGAATACATACATACAGATATTTAGCTTCATATGCAATCTCTACGAGTGTACTTGCATGGATCCTCTTATATTGAAAAGCTGAACATTAAATAGTTCAATGTTATGGTAAATACGCATACTTTTAGTTTTTGTATTGTGAGAGGATAGATGCCATTCTGTTGTTTGTAAGTAAAATAGAAAGCTATAGGGAGTAGCTGGCTAACTTAGCTTAGCACAAATACATTAACAGCTAGCCTAGTGATGTGCAGTTAAAGAGATAAAAACAAAAGCGTTTTGGCTCTCATCTTTTGTCCAGTTTGTCTCAAAAGCTCATTAAAAAGAAAACATATCATTAAAATAGACCACACAAGTTAATTAGTGGGCTTTCTAGGTGAATTTGTTCCTTCCGGACACAGTTGCTTTATATCTGGCCGGAAGCAGGAAAATGTACAGAGTTGCGCAACAGACTTGAGCCACCCTTCATTTTTTCACATTTTGTTTTCATAGACCCAATTTTCTTGTAATTTTTCTCTCTTCTTTTGAAATTGGCTGCTTTTTCAATCATTTTCAGTCCAGTCTTTGTACCTTCTTTTTTTTGTTAAGCACTTAAAACTGACCTATGACTCATTCAAGCTTAAAAAAGGCATCTAACTCAAGGGATAAACCAATCTTGTATGTAGACATGACAGACAACTTAGCAAAGAACCAGTTTAAAATGATATCTTTAGACACTTTGTTACTTTCAACCTATCGAGAAAAAAAAGAAAAGAAGAAAGAAATGACAAGAAAGCTATCCAGTCGTTAAGTGATGACGTGACGAATCCTACTTCCGGGCCTAAAGTAGTCTGCGTTTAATATGGCTTTTGTGTTGTTAACATGTTTAATGTTTTGTATTTTCTTCTATTTAATCTCAAAAAGCTCCTAAAACAGTCAGTGATCACTGTTGGGATCCCTCGGCTTTTATTACCGCTAATTATTTATCTAAGCTCAGTTTTTAAAACCTTACGATGTAACTACAGCCCAGCCCATGCAGCAGTATATGAATGACTAACTTTGTATTGTGGATGGATTATCTCAGTTGTTCTCCTGGCTGAAGTTTGGTCCATTTACAGCATCCTGCCATGTGATTACATTTGTTCCTGACCACCGAGAACACTCACGTTAACTTTTATCGAGTGGACAAACGTTAGTGTGTGCTCACATAGCTGTGTCGCTAGCGGTCACGTAGCACATCAGTAACGTAGCCAAACTTCAGTAACCCTACAAACGTCACTGCTGTTTAGTTTTCTGTCTTCATTTATGTTGGAAGTGATAACAGAGCCGTACGTTTGAATTTGTTTCCAAAGTCCCGCAGTCAGGACATGTTATATTGTATTTAGATGGAAGCTAGCGAGCTAACTTCCTGCTAATTTCTACTCCGTTAAATTTCATAAACTCCGTTTTCATGGAAGCCTGGATGATAAACTCAATGTTACACCTGGTAGAGCAGAACGCTGATCATTTTATTACAGATGAAAGACTTTAGACAGTTTTTCAACTCTCAGTGATGCCATAGTGATCATTTGACTTTGGGACCTGCAGCGAAGTTTGAGCCCAGTGACGTCAGACTTAAAGACCGGATTAAAAGAATTCAGGCTATGTTGAAAAATAAAGGTGGTCATACAAAATACTGACTTACAATCTCATCAGAATTTTTGCCTTACATACTGTATTTACAAGTATATTTGCATGTTTTGTTAAATCACTGCATACATTTCCTATTTTCCTAGCAAAATGTAGAAAAAAATGAAAGGTGGCTCAGGGGTTTCTCCCAGCACTGTCACAAAATATTGACCTTCCTTGAGCACAAATCAACTTGATAAACTTCACATTTACAAGACAATACTATAGTTAATACTGACTGATTATTAGCACGTGGCCAGCAATTACATTTCCCTTCCAAAGCTACTTATAAAATGATGCTGAGCTTCATACCTTCATATTTAACAACTTACCTTTGAATCAAAGTCCAACAAAACATAACTAGCTCATAAAGTGTAGGCCACTTCACATTAAATCTGAATAATGCTGTCTAATACAAATACATCTTCAAATTATCTAAAGTTTATTTTCTCCACTTCATCTGAATTATTTAATGTTTCTGGGACATTTTAAGATGATGAATGAAGTCTGGATAAACATCTATTCCGTTTAGTGTCAAAAGGGGGTATCTATTCATGGTGTAAGTTCGCCCCCTGCTGTACACATCGAGCCTTCAATAACAACAACAAAACTCATCCCTCACACTATTTCCCCTGAGAAACTCCCTCACTTTTCATGCCTATTATTTCCTTCAATAACACAATTAATAATAGTGGTGCCTCCCTTTGTTATGCATGTGTGCACTGGAGCACTTTGTAAATAGAGGTTAGTGGTGATACACTTATTACGACTAATGGTTAAATAACAAGTAGGGGATTCGTAAATCAAAGTAATCGACTCAAAGTAAAGGTACGAAAACACGTAGGATACACTATGCTCAACTATCATTTTCTTTATCAGTGGTTACAATCAAACATGGGATCAATGGGCTGAAGGTGGAGGGTCTCAACTCTTTCACAGTGATCTTCTGTCAAACTTTGGGCTTCTTATGACTTCTGTGGGACAAAATCCCCACATTATCCACAATCATTCATGTCACAGTGTCCTCAAAAGTCTCTCAAACGCAGTCCACGATAATGGGATACTGTTTAATCATAGTCGCTTATACTTTTTAAATATAAAAATAGCTGTCAAAAAGAGTCTCTAGGAGTAGGGAGAATGGGATAATCAAGTAAAGACAAAGGCAAATTTGTGAATATTTGACTGCACTTTCCCCAAGGACAGCAGTACATGTAAGGACAAAGTTCCCTTCTGAGCATATTTTTTGCAGTCACAAAGTCATATAGCACTTCCTTTATGCTGGACTTGAACGAAAAGGAACTATTAAGTCACTTAAGAAGTAAAATCCTTCGAACAGTTCTGTCACATTAAATCCCAGGATGAAAATATCTTCTGTTTGAAGGGTTATCTTGGTTCTTTGTCTAAGAAGAAGAGAATCTGTATATCAAGAGGATAAGTCTCCCATTCAGGGATCTGCATAAATCTCTGTCCTTTGTCGTGTCCTTAGAGCAGAATGTCTCAGAAATTGCTGAAGAGCTCATGCTTCTTCGTCCAGTCCATCTGCGGGGCCTTCCTCTTTTCTTTACCACGGACCTTCCTCTTTTCTTCTGCCGCCGTAGCACTGAGACTCAGGCCCATCTCGGCAAAGGGGTCAGACAGCTGGCCACCTTCATCATCTGCCAGCTAGAAATGATGAGACAGACAGATGCAAACAAAGGATTAGGGTAGAGGCTTTTATGTGGAGGTACAAAGCCCAAACATGTCACTGTGCACGAATGCTCACATCCACCTGCGTGCTGTTGCCCTGGCTGCTGAGGTCAGAATGCGTGGACCGGATGGACTGAGTGGTAGAGCTGCCATTGATCTGAGGACTGGGGGAGCCATTGGATATGGATGGACCGTCATAGTCTGCGAAAACATTCACATATGAAGGAAGTGTTTTCCAAGCCCACGGCTTATTTGACATAGTGCTTGTCTTTACTTTTGTCATTATTTGATAATAATTGTTCAAAAAAAATAACTTTACATAGGAAGATACCCCAAATTATTTGTTTGTGTATGCTAGACTTTTTAGTCAGTGCTAAGCAGATGACCTGAACAAATTAAAGCCAAATTAGTCTGGCTGTAAAAAGCAACGCTCCACTGCCACCACTCTTTTAAAGGTGTATAATGATCTTTTTATGGCGTCTTATGGATTTTACTTCAGTGCAGTTTTTAATACCATTAACTGTAACATTTTACTTTATAGGCTTAAGGTTTTAGCTGGTATCGCTGGCTCTGCGTTAGATTGGGTTTCCTCTTACTTATCTGATAGGTCTTTCTCTGTTAGGGTTGGCAAGTGCACCTCTAACATTGCCTCCCTAAACTGTGGGACTCCACAAGGTTTAGTCATGGGGTAATTAGTATTTTTCTTTCTAAATCCTAAATACTTTAGCTGGCATCCTTCAATCTTTTATTGATTTTTCTTATCAAATGTTTTTACATCGATGACATTCAGCTTTATATCCCTTTAAAACCTCACCAGCTGGACAGGTGAGGTTCCCCTAGTCCACTGTTTAACACAGATTAGTCATTAGCTCTCTACCAATTACTTTGTTTTAAATATCACCAAGACCAAGACCAAGATCATAAAATATGCCAGGCTCAACAATTCTTTCCTGGGCTTTAACTTGGATGAAAAATCTTTATCTTTATTGCCTTTTTCATTTAAAGAACATTTCTAAATTGCAACATATGGTCTCCTCAGGTGAACGGGAGAAAAATATTCATCCATCTGTGCCATTGTGTTTAGATTACTGTAATGCCATGTTTACATTCTTGGACAAATCATCTCTTTCACCTCTCCAAGCGATATAAAATACTGTGGCCATCCTGTTAAAAGGTTCTAGTAAGCTCACATTACTCCCATTTTATCCTCTTTACATTGGCTCCCAAGAGATTTTAAAATTCTTATATTTACAAACAGAGCACTAAATGGCCAGGCTCCAGATTATTTATGTCATCTACCTACAAATTGCACTGCTGCTTGATGTCTTCATTCACAGGCTCTGAATTTGTTAGTTTTCCCTGTACATGACTAAATAGATGAGAGGGGATGACAAAGCCTTTCAGCCTGTGGCACCAAAACCGTGGAACAATCTATTACTACAAGTTGACTCCGTAGAGTCTTTTAATAAGTAGTTAAAGCTTTTTTGTTTAAACAGGCTATCTTTGTGACTGTCTTCTAACAAAGAAGAAAGCTCTATCTAGTTTATAAAAACTATAAACATCTTTTTTGAAAAAATGTTCACCAAAATAATGCAATAAAATATCTGCCATGTGCTTCCTCAACAGGGCTTCTTGGAAATTCAAGCCCATCAAATAGCCTGATGTAGCACAATCCCACCTTTTACATGGCTGACTGTGGGGATCAATCCCCTCCTCTTGAAGTGCTCGTCTGTTTCTGGATCCACCACCAACAGCCAGGTTTCATCTCCCCCTTTCTTGATGAAGGCCACCACCTCTGCATGCCGCATGCCCTCGATGTTAACGCCATTAACCTGGAAAACACACACACACACACAAAAGAAAGGTTGCTTTTGTTTAAAAGAATCATGCTTTTACATGTTATTCTTTTTAACTTTTCCATCCAGGCTTATGACAGCTTTAAACTGAATTTCTTAATAGTTAGCTATACAGTGAATAGTACTCTCTATTTTGGACTGAACACCTGCTAACCTTCTGACCCTTGAGTAAGTTACTATTCATGCTATTATGAAGACCTGTTTTGTAAACAGCTAATGCTCAGTCACAGTCCCAGCTACACGAGTAACTGTAACTATAACCAGCAACATGAAGTTATCTACACTCCCATGAAGTGTCTTTTGGGCAATCTGGGCAAATGGGATGGGAACACGGACAGCCCTCATTACAGTGTTGAGGTCCTTATTCAACTTTGTCATCACTGTCCCATAAAAAAAAATACACACAGACATGGCATGTATAGTTTGATGATTCAAGACTCCCTCAAAACATGATTTTCCTTGATTCGACCCAGGGTCATTTTGGGTCACTTTAGGAATAGTCATAAAATTTTAGCCTAAAGGAATGACATTTAGGGTATTTTGACTTCTGCTGAAATGTCAGTTTTTAAGGGACAGTACAGTATAGAAGTCTGTGCTACCTCATTCAAACAGCAGGGGGAGCCATGCAGCTACAAACTAATTGCACAGAGTTTATTTTTCAGGGGGCCTGAAAAATGCAACAATTCTACTACCTCTTGAATTTCGGCAACAGCGATTAAGCAAAGCTTTTTTCTTTACATCTGTACGTACGTGTGGCCATGGATGCAGCGTGACGTAACAGTGTGGAAAGCACACATCCACATCTACTCTTGTGTGACGTCGCCCTTGCTTTCTACACTTCACTTGCATAACACAACAGTCTGTTGTTGCCTCATCTTATCTAGATGCTGTGTTTTGAAAACTTTGAGTAGACCGTGGCTTCTCAAAAGGCAGCAGTCGCGGCATGCCGAGTTAGTGTCGGTACACAATCAATTATTGATGGCTCTCCTTGGCTCTGGCTATAGTGCAAGTTTCAGGTGTCAGTGTACTGAAGGGAAATTTGCGTAAAATTTCACTGCTTATGATAGAGGAGGATGGAAAATTTTAGCTTTAAAAAATAAAACTGTAGACAAAAAGGTACAATATGACAGACCAGGAAACAGAAAATGAAGGGAAGGGCAAAGAGAGTAGATGGAAATGAAATGTAGAGAGAGCAGGATCAACAGATGGAAAAATGTGAACCTCTCTACATCAAAAAATCACAAATGCAGGACTTATGTCAGCCAGAGGGACAGACAGACAGTTTGAATCCGAGAGAACAAACATCTTTGTATTTGGCCAAACAACAGGTGTTGTGTCATGTTTCACAGACTTCATTAAAAGTCCATCCCACACAAGACAATACACTCTGTTCTTTGCCCACTGAGCTCATTAATACAGGCTGTAGAAACGTGCAGAAGCTTATTTCTCATGGGACAAACCCTTGTGGGACCTCTTGATACTCTGACTGTGCGTTTCTGAGGTCCTGCCACCTGCAGTTCACGTTTTTCATGCTATTTGCACATGTGGGTCTAACCTTGGACTGATCGAAACAAACAATTTTAAATGCATCCACACATCTGAGAATATGACGCATGTGATACTGTGAGTGACTTTTAACACTTCTGTCCACGCAGAGTCCCAGGAGGGGATGCCGGACAAACAAACAAAGCATGAAATGTGATTTAGATGAATGTTTGCAAGTATTTTGCCTCAGATTAAGTCATGCTTGTAACAGATGTTAATGTAATTTACATAGAACAACAATTTTTAAAGTTTACCAGCTAAACAATCATTTCAATTGTTCCGTTCAACTCAGTTTTGTTTATATAGCTGCAAACCATAGAAAAACACTTGCCTCAAGGTGTTTTACATCTACAATATTAGAACGAAAAGAAAACCTCCACAATCAGACGACCTCCTTTGAAGAAGCACTTGGTGACAGTGGAAAGAAAAAACTCCCTTTGAACAGGAAGAAACCTCCAGCAGTTCCAGACTCAGAGAGGGAGGATAAGGGGAAAGAGAAGAAACATATGAAGAGTGAAGTCTAAGCCATAGTGGAACATAACTGAAACTAAGTTTGATCTAAAAGGAAGTTTTTAAGCCTTACTGGTCTGCCTTCTGAAACCAAACTGGGAGCTGCTTCTACAGGAAAGGGCCTGAAAGCTGAAGGATCTGACTAGGAACAAAGTGCAAAGTGCTCTGTTAGGATAGTAGTGTAAGCGTTCCTTACAGCAACTTGAATCACATTTAAAATACCTTTACTTTTATTTTCAACATAGAAAACTCCAATGCCTTCATCAGGGAATTTAACAGGTTCCATGGACACAAGTTTGTAGTGATGTTACACCAATAGAAATCTTCTACCAGGAATTAGAGCGTAAGATTCCACCAGTGATCTTCACATCAAACTTGCACATGGTGTGGGAGTCAAGAAGGCACACATAGCTGCGTTTCCATTTTAAATGAGTAACTATAGGCAAACTAGGAGGTCCATGAGGCTGCACCGATCTATATGCAGCAAAAAACTGAGTGAGGCAGTTGGCACAGAGACTGATGAGGCGTTCACTGGTGTCAGGGCTTCTGCCAGACATGGGCAGAAAGCTGAGCTCTCATCATAGTCTTAACACGCGTCCTGTGTAATGGGGCGTAGTGAGAGAAAAAGACGCCGGGAGATGGAGAAAGAGAGATCTGTCATGGTTGTTCACCTCTCTAACAAGCTGCTGACAGATAACACAAGCGCATCTTGATGCATGGTCAGAGACGGCTGTAATTATCAGGGTGCTCTCCCACACTAACTCACACAGCAGCCAACTAACTTCACAAAGACTCAGATTTGCTGATCCACAAACAACTCATACACTGAATTTGACAGGAAATTAAAAATAACCTTTTCTCTGCTCTAAATAAGCACACAATACTGGGCGTGTTATTTCTATGCCAATTAACCCTGCTCTTTACTCTGCATATGCATACGTATTCATAATTTCACTCAAGCGCTTTAAATTAGTAAGGTTGAGTACCATTCAACTTCATCTGTATATGAATGTTCATGTCTGTGAGTGTCCCTCGGTTTCTGTCTCCATGGAGAAGGGAGGTGGAGGACAGTCAGTGCCTTCGTTGACCTGCTACAGGATGTTCCCACACTCTCTCTCCAGCCATCTAATTTTCCAGTGAAGCATCAGCGCACTTTATTTTCTAATGATAAGCACGTTGCCAGCACAAACTCGCCTCTTGCTAACTTTGGTGAACAGCAACTCTGCTCTGCTCGTTTAGGTTTGCATAAAGACTGGAGAAAAAGGGCAAAACTCACTTTAAGCATTCCGGAATATCCATGCATTTCCTTAAACTCCAACTAAGGTTGTGGAAGGGCTCGATTGAGAGAGACATGGGTTGTCAGTCTGTGGTAAGGTTAACGCAGAATAGCAGACCCCCCCATTCACGCTGACGCCTACACCCAATTTAGAATCACTAATGAACCCAACATGGATGTCTTTGGGTTGTGGGAGGAAGTCAGAGCATTTGGAGGAAACCCACGCAGGCACTGGAAGAACATACAAACTCCATAAACAAAGGTCCCAGCTGACCAAGAACTTTCTTACTATGAGGCGACAGTGCTAAAAAACTGCACCACCTAATCTGCTCTAATGGCATATTGTGATTTTTATGCTTAGGATTGCCAGTACATTCAAATTAAATATGTGTCATAACTGCTAACTGGCTGATGGGGCTCTCTTCATCTAACTCTTCTACCCATCGTAATACACCACCTTATTTACTTAGGAGGAAGTATATCTGCGAGCTATCAACTGAAACCAGGAGCTACAAAAGCATCAGTATGTTTCGCTAGATTTTAGCTTCGTTTAACTTTTCTATCAGAGCCTGTTGGAGTCCTGTTTGATGTAATGTGCTGCACTCTAGTCTCAACCCTGATATAGAGCCGGAGAGGTCAAAGGTCATGAGAATCGAGGGTGAATGCTGTGTGAGTGTGTACACTCCCATGAAGAACGACTTATAATGATGATGATGTTTCAGTAGCGTGGATTTTGGTTAATCTAGGGGAAAGTTCACCAAACATCCGTGAACTTTCTAACCAGTTTCCTCACTCCGGTGGAAATCTGAAATAATTATGTTGTTTTTCTTTTTTGCACATGCATCTTCATTTTCTGCTGCATTCTTTCTTTGCTATCCACCTCACTCAGTCTCTTTCTACATGTTATTGAGGGAGCACGTATACGCTCCGTATTGTTTTGTGTCTCAGCTCAAAGTGATTTATAGCAGATCCTCCTCTCCCCTGAGACCACCCTGCTCTGCCTCACCAGTTTGACACAGTAAAGCTCGAGTTCAGGCTGCAGGTCCTGTTATCCTTAGAAACACAAACGTGTAACGCCCGCCGTTTTAATTACAGCCAGGGTCACATCTGTATTTGATCACATGTGTGAGACTGCTCTCAAATCCTGAAGCCTTTGTTTAAAAATAACAACTAATGAAAAATCTCCATTTTATACCATTTAAAATGGTTTATTGCTGAATTTTGAATGTTTCCAATAAGGTGGCGAATGTCTTGTGTACAAATACTCTAAATCAAATGGATTTTTTCAAATGCAAACATAATGTAAAGTCACCCATCAGCTTCTAGTGATGAGGGAACAGCTACGAAGAAAGTCATGCGAAGTGTTTTGGTATGATTTTCTTACGAAAGAGGCCTTTTGGGGTTCTTATAATCTTCCGTGACGGGAATGCAGTATGCATCACCAGTAATCAACTCATCAGTGCGCGTCTACGTGCTTTAAAATATCCTCACTTGTTTTTCTGGTCTGCTGTGCCCACGCCAAAAAACCTCTCACACAATAATTACTTAATATGTTGTTCTGGAAATTTTGCACCTTAGATTGCTTAAGGACACTTCTTTGACCTGCTAAACTTTACTAACTTCACTCATTCAGCATGCAAGTCTATCAATGTCCTAAAAGTATCTGTTTGGGGACTGTGCACAACCTTCAACTTAGGCTATATCCAGTTAACCAATTTCAAAATCTCACATGGTCAGGGATGTTGTCATCATACTGTTCATGTCTGAATAACTTAATTTTACATCACAAACACATACACCTGTAAAAACTGGACTTTCCTACCTTTAAAGAGGAAAAATTTACTGGACAATGTGATTTTTCTGGATTGCACTGAATTGTATATAATATTCAGTGCCGTGTGTAGTGCGTTCCCAAGTCACAAATTACTGTAATCACATTACACTTTTCAGTAACACGTTGTTGTAGTAAATTAAGTAATTACATTACAATAATACTTATGTGTTTTTCTTGTGTTACTTGGTTCTTCAGTCATCTGCATGTTGGGCTTGGAGGAGGTAAATGGTGGAGAGGTCTACAGCTTTTGAGGAATGAAGATTAACTTTATTTTTATTGCACGAAAGGACAAGATGTTGAAATGCAAAGTGAGTCCAGGACAGACAAACTGGATGATGCTACTAACACAGATAGAACCCAGAGTGATGTTAAAGCTGAACGTATGGCAACTCCAAACCAGCAAACCAGGCCCTGAACTTCAACGGGCGTCAGTCGGAGCTGCAGCCTCCATTTCTACCTGTACATCTACAGTAGAATCACCATGACGATCGCTTTGAAGTCTAAAGGGAGGGGCGGCAAAACCACCAACACAAAGAAAAGATTTGCTTTGTGTTTCTGGTTTTTATGGTCATGCATTCAAAACTGAAAGAAAGACTGTGTGTGCATCTTGTTTAGAATAGTTACTTGCGTGGTCTGTGGAACTGGTAACTACTAACTATACAACATTGCATTTCAGGTCATTTATAGAGTAATGTAACAGATTACTTCATATAGTGAGTAATTAAGTAACATTACTGCATTGCTTTCAAGAACAGTTACAAGTAATATGTTGCACTTTACATTTCTGAGTAATATTACAGATACAAAGACTCCACACCTCTATGAGTCTGTCTTGAGGCTGGAGCCCGGCACGGTCTGCAGGTGACCCGGGGTCCAGGGAGCGGATGTACTGTCCGGGCCGCGACCGATCACTGTGAAGGTTGAAGCCGTAGCCCATCTCTGACCGCACCAGGTGGCAGAGACGTGGAGCGAGCTCGGATGGGTTGACCTGGGGCCTCGACTGGGACTCGGGCTGGGTTTGAGCTTCAGCCTGGGCCTCCTGCAAGTGAATGGGAAAAAGATGTTTGTTCGCCTGCTTTGCATAACACACAATACAATTAATCTACACTGTCAGTTAAGGGAAACCCTCAACAGAGACTAGAAAAAGAACTGGTGACTTGACACTTGACACATCACTCATTTTAAAAGGCCATGCTTTGACAAGTTGTGTTGCCTGAGGACATGGCTATTGCAGTAGTGCTGGTACAATCAAATAGTGTGCATGAATTCTTATCCCTACTTTTATTTTTTCATGTCTATTTAAGTGCTATTTATGACACTATGTTTGCACTGAAGCACCGCAGCAATTTCCTAATGTTGTAAACCTGCTCAACATTTGGCAATAAACCCCTTTCTGATTCTGATTCTGAATATTTGTAACTGTACGCCATTCTTTGTGGCCCTTCTATTACAGATGTGTTAGCAACAACTGTAGGAACTTAATACTGTACTCAACCAGCACAATTCACTTGACATAGTCAGCCACACACACACATTTTAAGCTAATGACTCACAGCCATATTCCTAACAGCCAAACCACATCCATAGCTACAGTTAGAGTCATAATCACAGCTACAGTCACGGAGGCAGCAGTTGGTAATAAGCTGGCAAACTAGTTTGTTAACTTTCAAACTTCAATGACACAGCTAAAGGATCAGACAGTGGTTACAACCAGCAACGGTCTGCTGTATCGTAACGCAGCTTTCTTCATGCAGGAAATACAACATCAGCTATGGCTTTCTTTCTGTGAAGCAACTATCGAACCAATTTGAGGTGATTCGAGCTTTGTTACATGGAGTGTTATCCTGCTGGAAGCAGCCGTCAAAAGATGTGTACACTGTGGTCATAAATGGATGGACACGGTCAGCTATAATGCTCATATAGGCTGTGGTGTTTAACAAATGGACAGTTGGTACTAAGGGGTCCCAAAGTGGGCCAAGAAAATATCCACAACGCTATTACACCACCATCACCAGCGTGAGAATAAATCCATGTTTTCATGTTATTCAGGCCAAACTGGCCCTACTGTCAGAGTGTCACAAAGGAAATTGAAACTTATCAGACCAGGTAACATTTTTTCAATCCTCTATTGTCCAGTTTTGGTGAGTCTGTGTGAACTTTCCTGTTCTTAGCTTCTGGTGTGGACTTCTGCTGCTGTACTTAGTTTTACAGAATGACCTGCTATTCATTCAAAGATGCTCTTCTGCAAAGCGTGGTTGTTTCTGTTGCCTTGAAGCAGTCTGGCCATAATCCTCTGACCTCTGACATCAACACGGCATTTTTTCCCAGGGCTCCCTGATGCAACCATTGTCTGTAAATGGTCTGTTTTGTGTGGTAAAATCCCAGTTATCAGCAAGTTACTTACTGCAAATTACCTTTCTTCCCCATTCTTAACTTTAGCAGGCCACTGAATTGCTGCCATGTGATTGGCTAATTATTATGCATTTGTGTTAACACACAGTTGAACAGGTGTACCTGAAAAAATGGCTGGTGAGTGTATATACCATAGGAATAGAAATAAAAGTGAAAAAATATAAATTGCCAACAGCTATCAGTTCATGATGTCAGAAAACAATAAAAAGTGTGAACAATAAAACATGTGAGCATCAGAGAGAGAGATGAGATCAATCGCAGCTGATGTTTGGTCTGCAGAGAAGTTACATCACAGCAGTGGTATTTATGTAGGGATATATGTACAGTGGTTCATATGTAAATGTAAAAAAAGATGTAATCCATCAAAGTAACACGCTCCTTTCTGCAGACCATGTGATGATTTTCAGAAGCCGGTAACTAAACACGCTCCACCAACTTCCCTCTCCACTGTGTGAATATTTTATACATAAAAAGTGATGCTTAAATTCAGTGGTAATTTAATCATACTCACCGCGTTACGTTTTGAATAGTTCCGGCTGATTTTTTTGTTGGATAACAATAACCTCCTTTTCATGTACCACCATTCACTCATTTAATAGGATGTCTGATTTTATTATAAGATTTCAATCTGGACTGAAAATGTCCATTTGCAGCATATCTCTGACTAATAGCCTGGGTGAAGACATTTATAGAACCTGTATAATTGTGCCTTGAGTTCTACAGTGTGATCATGCTGATTTACCCTCCTACACACCCAGGAGAGAAATGTGCTGCGAGAGGGATGGCCAGCTCCATAACCCCTGCTGATATTAGCGTTGAGATAACAGACAGGCTGAGCTGGAGTCCACATAATGTACACACGCTGTGTTCACATGATGTAGCTCCAGCCACATTACGCAACTTGAGAAGCCTTTTGCTTTCGCTGCATATGCAAAAACTAAGATCACGGTCCAGCTTGCGCCGGCTATAAATACATATGGAGCATGTGGGCAGGGTGAGAGAGAAAAGAGACAAAGGTAGTATGGTGTGTTAACAGGAGATGATGGTTGATGACAGCTTCTTCTTTTCTTTTTTTTCCCTATTTTCTAACTCGTCACTCATTTCCATTCAACTTCCTGGACATTAACGCAAACAGCTCCCGAGAACATGAATCTCCACAGCAGTTCTCACCAAGAAAGACCTCAAAAATAACAAAGATGGCAACATATAATTTCAGTTCAGGCGCAGAATTCTTTAGGGCAGCAGTGATCTGGGCAGCTTGCCATTAGATGGAGGGAGAGAGAGAAGAGAAGGGAGTAAGAACTGACAAACAATGGAATAATTCACAGTCCTCTGTTTCCTGGCTGGAGAGGAAGTGCCTGGGTTGGGCAGCTGGGGCGGACTGTCCAAGGGAGAGAAAAAATATTTGCAATATCGAATGCATTACTATCCTGGGATGTAGGCAAAGGGAATTAACAAGAAAATGACAGAACGGAGGAGAGGAGGAAGGCTGAGAGAGAAGTGAATGAGTGAGCGTGCATGTGTGGGAGGGATAGAAAATTAGATGCAGTGAGAGGGCTGGGAAATAAAGTTCAAGAAAAAAGAGAGACAGGCAACTTAAGAATATGCAGAGCTAACACATAAACACAGAGTGCTAAGAGAAATCATGATGACAGAAGTTTCCAGTAAGACACGATGGCGAGGTCTGCAGTGGAACTCCTCTAACATAAACACTGAGAGGAGCACAGCTGGGAGTTATTAGGTCGGGGGAGACGTAAGCGCCTGCCAATCTAACCTCCAACCGCCTCCCAGTGCCTGTCTGCACCCCACTAATCACCCCCTGGGGTCTGTGCCATCTCTTGAACTCCGTGTCCTCAGCATAGTGTGCATTCAGGACACTTTATTTTGGCGCTGTGGGTTTCTTCTGCATAAAACTAAGAGCACAGGTTAGCTGCACGCCTCACTCACGTGTATGTGTGTGTACTCCGCTCCACATCGAGGAAGATTAATTTGGGCAAGAGGAAATTGTAAAGGACGGAGGCGCTGATTTGAAAGATTCGAAGGGTGACAGCCAAAAGGCTCAGAGGGCTTTAAGTTACCACACAACCTTGCCAAAATCGCAGGCAAACAAATGAAATGTAGCCACTGTGTTTGTTTGAACTGTGGGTGCTGAAAACTTGATGGTTTTTGGAGAAAATATTTTGATGAGAGAGAGCAAAATGAGATGTAATGTTCTTATTTTTGTCAGCAAACTAGCTTGTCATCAGGAAAGTTATCAGCATTGGACATTTTGTTTTTCAAAACAGAGGAGGAGAAGCGATAGGAAATGCTGGAAAAAAGCAGAGAGACCATGTAACTACAAGTTCATGGAAAATGACCAGGCTGCTTTTCTATAAGGAATATGGAATATTCCACTCTTACTGCTGTACATTAAACATGACATGCAAACGCATACTGACCCGAGCATCCTGACTGTGACTTCCTGAGACGATTTGCTGTCAAAGGGACGAGTGCCCTCCAAAGGATTGCATTAGTTTCCAGCCACAATGACATTTTGCTGGTCTCAGTAGATGCATGTGTGGGTGAATACCCAAGTCATTTCTTTAACTCTGTAATTGGGATTATTTTGATTGCACTAAAAGTTTGAGGGCTGAACTTTCTTTTGTTTAATGTATGAGATGACATGCCAGAGCTGGTTCACTTTATTTTCTTATGCATATTTTTTCCATTAGCAGCTTTTGCCCAGTTAGTTCCATATTTTGTACAATAGATTTATTTACTGGTGAACAGATTCATTAGCCATCGGTAGCTCAGTTTGTCCTTCGAGACAAATTGTGTCACTTGGGAGCCGTCTTAGTAGCTCAAAATGGATAGTGACATATAAACTGCATATACAAAAACACTTGTCAAGTCTAATTAAAAACACTTTAACCTAAAATCTGGTCATTTTATTGCAGGTTATACTTAATGCATGTGCAAGTTATGTAACATACGATGGTTGTCCATGACTTGGCAGGGCTGAGTTTGATTCATGGCTCTCCCATGACTTCCAGCCCATGTTTCCTCAGGCTAGAAAACTGCCACTTTGTGTCTTTGAGACGCCTGCAGTTTAACTATTTGGTGTGTGTCTTCTGGCTTCCTTGACAGACATAGTTGTGTATCATTTGCATAGCAATAGAAATGTATGCATTGCCTGATACTGATGATACTGCCTGGGGGAAGCATAATAATGTAGAGTGAACTGGTCCTAGCACAGAACCTTGTGGAACTCCATAATTAACCTGTGTGTGTAAGGACTCCTCATTTACATGAACAAATTAGAGCTCGTTAGATAGACATGATTCAAACCATTGCAGTGCAGTTGCTTTAATTCTTATGACATGAATCTCTGTAATAAACTATTGCGGTCGACAGTATTGAACACAGCACTGAGGTCTAGCAGGACAAGTGCAGAGACGAGTCCAACGTCAGAGCACTAAATCAGTGGAAGGTCTGAGAAATCAGAGAGAAACGCTGAGTAACTGTAACTTCCTGGATTCTTGCTGCCTGCCTGGCCTCAGCTCCTTGCAGTTAATTGTAATTTTTACATAAGGAGGATTTGTTTTTTTTAAAACCTTGGGTTAGATTGAGGCCCCTATGTTAGCAGTC